TCTTCGGGTTTCGACGTAATTTACAGCCAATACAAATATTCAGTGAATGCTAAATTGCATATGGAACGATTGCACCGTCTTTAAGGACTCTTTCTAAGTGGTTCCGAAGATTCCTGACCGGATATTTTACCTTAGAGGACAAGCCCCCAAGACCAAAGTCTTATACTGATGGCGTTAGTTTTGTGATTATTAGTGAATTGTGCTTAAGTTCCATAGCTGTATCGCGGATATTAAGTAATCATCTGAAATACACGAAGAAATCTGCTCGATATTTATTTTAAATGAGACCCAAAGAGAGATTCGAATGCATTTTACTCTATTTTTCCTTCACAAATTTGAAAATTGTCAGTCTAGCAACTTTAGTAAAATCGCTACTGGTCGCGTATCCGGGTTCTATATGTACGATCCAGGTACCAAACACCAGTCCATGGTATGGAGACCAACGGCAGCAAGCCCACTTGTAAAATCTAAACAACAAAAATTAGCAGCAAAGTAATGACGTCTGTTTACATCGCCCGATCTGAAAACAGGGCTGCTCTTCCACTGGAAAAGGGTCAGACGGTAACTCCAAAATAGTGCACCGAAGAGTGCTAACCAAAAGTGTTTAAATATTTGTTGGAAAACAGGAAGAAATGGGATTTGCGGCACTACTTTTTACATCATGACAACGCGCAGTGGATCTATAGGCTTAGAAATGCATTGAAACCCATGGCGATTATGTTGTAATAAGATAAAGAATGACAAAGATTACGAATAAATACAAAACAAATAATTTTTTTTCTGGTAAACTTTTTTTAATCCACTCGAATATAAATATAAATTTTTCAACTGTCTTACCTTCGCAGCTGACAGTTAATGTTTAAACAAAATTTGCTGAAAGATTTACAATGCATAAATTAGCAGTCAGCAAATATGTAAACATTTCAAGTAATCGTGATTTTATTTATGTACACATATATGTACACATGTTAAATTAGAAAAGTTTTTCCGATTGAAAGGAGAATAAAATAAAAGGTTTATCGATTTATGTTTATTTTTTCACCGAGCAGAGGAGCATCCAATTATAAGTAATTTAATATCATTATTCACCAGCGTCAACTAACTGGTTTTAAACATTTTTTCCGCTCTTTCTTCGAGTTAACAATTGCTAAGTTGGTTTTTACAAGTAAGTTACGTATACGCAGTGTTGTGCTTACAAAATGTTTTAGGTCTTCCAGGCCGTTTTTTCTCTATTTCTTTTTTCTGGGCAACAAATTTATTGAATAAACTTTATCTTTCCTTTCCTAAGAAGTCAGTGCTATACTTTGTATATTTTGAAGACTGAAGACTACTTTGAAAAACAGTGAAAACAACTGGATAGAAGTCACCTCTTCAAATTCTTATTTTCTTAACCCTCCTCGGCGCTGCAATGTGTCCTTACCAGCCAGACAAGACTCGATCACTTGTAGGCTATATTCTGCACTGATTTAGGCTGTGACTCACCGGGTTTCAACTAATGCTTTTTCTTTCTAACTGGTGGTGACAACTCTTACACGAGTCAATTATGTGATGACTGTGTTTTCTACATTTCTCAGTTCAGCAGCAATTCTAGCGAACAAAATAAACTCAAGTCCTAATCGTTCTAACTGAGTGATATTCAGACCCCTACTCGAATTCCATCTGCGGGTATTAAATTGAATACTTGGCGAGTTGAAGTGTTTTTGTCCATGCAGAGTAGGTAGGTGAATGGGTGGGTAGGGAAAAGATTATGATGGACAGAATAGGAATTGATAGAGTCTCTCTGTGAATGGCGTTTAGGGCTTGTCGGTATGTCATTCTGCCCAGCGGTTCTGTTCATTGATGCCTGCGGCATATGCCTAGGTGATGGATCGGTTTCAAGTAGATGTCTATTAGGATGGTCGTAACGCCTTCAGGGATTCGTAATTAGTATAAATACGAGGTTTCATTTTTATTCGACAATTAGTCTTGGAGCTAACGCCAACCAAGCAACTTAATCGGGAATGAAAAGTGCAATATTGAAAAAAAACGAATATGGTGCCGTTATAAAGTCCCTTACCAAACAAGGAAAGTTAATTGCGACCATAATGAATGGGATGTCATTGGTTTACGGCGACCGTTACTTACAAGTGGGGTAGTTAATTTAAGCCAGAAAATAAATACCTGAGACCGAGAAAGAGCACCGAGGTGAAGACACTGGAACTTATCCAAAAAATTGAAAAAATTGTTCTCGACGATTCTCGAGTAATGAAGAAACAACTCGCAACTGTTGGCTGGAATATCCAAAATAACATTTATTTAAATCGTATACGATTATCTTGACATGAATAAGGTTAGCGCAAAGATGAGTGCCTAAAATTATTACGCTTCCATAAAGAGTTCACCTACGTCGAAATAAAACTCCTTGCAGCGGCATAAAAGAAGCACAGCTCATCTTCGGAAGTTTAAGGTGCCACAGTCAGCAGAGAAACTCAGTCTTTAGGGCCCCGGAAGGAATATTATTGATTGATATTTTTCAATAAGTGGAAATTACTAGAGCCACTAAAAGATGTTATACAAGAGAAAATAGGAGGAAAATTTACGAAAAATTGTTTGTGTTTACACGACAAGACGCCCGCCTGAACCCAACTCCCACATTGCCTTGGCTACCCTGCTTAAGGTTGGCCTTGAAATTTGAAATCATCCACCTTACAGGTCTGAACTGGCACCGAGTGATTAATACCAGCTTCTAAGAGAAAGAAATGAAGGGGAAAAGTTTTACCACCGATGATGAAGTGTGAAGGAAGCGGTTTCGGCGAATTTTGAAGATAAAAAGGAAACATTTTTTGTATGAGGGTATAAATAAATGAATTGAAAGACATGACAAATGGATCCATTTGGTAGGTTAATATATTGAAAAGGGAAAGAATCTTTTATTTTTTATTATTATTTACCATTTCGCGGCATGTGTATCAAAAGTATACCTTTAAAAAAAAATTTTTAATAAATAAAGTAAATAATAAATGCGGCCGCGGTAGCCGAGTGGTTAGCGTTGCGTACTGGCATTCGGAAGGCGCGGGTTGAAAATCGGCTCAAAACCGACAGAGTTATTTAATGTTGAAATACCGTAGATCTATTGGGTTGCCCAAAATGTAATTGCGGATTTTTTAAAAGAAAGTAAATACATTTTTAATAAAACTTAGAATGAACTTTAATCAAATATATAATTGACATTTTGTTCGATAACCTTTTGCCATCTTCCTGGCAAATTCAGAATTCCACGCTCATAGAACTTCTGGCCTTTATCTGTAAAAAACTGAACCAAGTGCGATTTTAAAGCCTCATCATGGCCGAAAGTTTTACCATTTAAGGAGTTCTGCAAAGATCGAAATAAATGGTAGTCTGATGGTGCAAGGTCAGAGCTATATGGTGGATGCATCAAAAGTTCCCAGCCAAGCTCACTCAGTTTTTGGCGAGTGACCAAAGATGTGTGCGGTCTAGCATTGTCCTGGTGGAATATGACACCTTTACGATTGACCAATTCTGGTCGCTTCTCCTTGATGGCTGTATTCAATTTGTCCAATTGTTGACAGTAAACATCCGAATTAATCGTTTGGTTCCTTGGAAGCAGCTCAAAATATACGACACCCTTCCAATCCCACCAAACAGACAGCATAACCTTCTTTTGGTGGATATCAGCCTTTGAAGTGGTTTGAGCTGGTTCAGCATGCTTGGACCATGATCGTTTTCGACTAGCGTTGTTGTAAACAAAACGGATCGAATTCATTGCGTTTAAGGTGCATATCACAAGCGTTGATTCGGTGTCTTAAATGAATTTCTTTCAATACATGTGGTACCCAAGTATCAAGCTTTTTCACCAGTCCAAGACTTTTTATGTGATAATGAACGATTGATTTTGGTATATTTAACTTCTGTCCTATCTCACGCTCAGTTACATGACGATCCAATTCGATTAATGCTTTGATTTGGTCATCATCAACTTCATTTGGCCGACCTGAACGTGGCTCATCTTTAAGTGAAAAATCTCCAGAACGGAATTTGCGAAACCAATTTTGACACTTTTAAGGCTTCATCACATTACCCATCTCGTAACTTTTTAGCAACCTGCTCCGCGTTTTTTCCTTTACGGAAATAATAAAGTAAAATATGACGAAGATGCACCTTTGTGGGCTCCATATTAAAATTGACGCCTAACAAACAAATGTAAACAAAAATTCGCGCACTTTTTTTCTAAAGCAAGCTAAAAGTAACAGCTGATAACTGATAGAAGAAAGAATGCAATTACAGAGTCACAAGCCGTTGAAAAATTTTGTCAACGCCGACTATATGAAAAATCCGCAATTACTTTTTGGGCAACCCAATAAATGGCGCACCATGTGTATACCTAAGTACATATTGGACAATTATTTCCTTTCAATTATTATAAATGAATTTATTTACGTACTCGAAGCTCCTCCAGTTGGCAACGCATGTCAATATAACCGGAGATTAGTAAACAGAAAATTCGTAGTCAATATGCCATTAGCTAATTATTATTATACTTCATAAACAAAAACCGATGAAAAAAATATATTTCAACACATTTGAGTGGGCGCTAGCGCCGTACTTGCTTTGATTTGAACGGCGCCTCGACACGCATGCACATATACACACATGTGTATGTATATACACACACACACATGCATTTCGAAAAATATTCATTCATAAGAAAATACAAAAATTCCATGCCACAATTCCAAAAACAAAAAAAAACTAATTTAATATTAATTAGATGGAATAAACTTAAATGCATACATACAAACATTTAAACAAACCCACACACACATTCAAATCGATCAATAACACACTTATTCTTTAAAAATATACTGTGTAAAAAATGTTTTTCACTTCCAATCGACTTCCATTTCCATCAGCAAACGACCACCACCTGTTCGCACATTTCAATTTTGTAATGATTTTCTTTAAATTTCTTTTTTTTTAATTTTTCTCTCTTCCTTTCCCAGATACATCATTGAAGAGAATATCAATAACAACACAGGCATCTCATTTTTTGCCATTTTCGATGGTCATGGCGGTGAATTTGCTGTCGACTTCGCTAAAGATATTTTGGTGAAAAATATTTACAATAAAATTATTGAAAGCACAAAATTACTCAATAATCAGCACTTGTCCGATGGCAGCAGTAGAAAGGCAGCTGCACACGATGCTGATTACGTGGAGTATGACGCGAGTCCATATCTGAAGAGGCGTGCAAGCCGTAAGGACGATAGTAATAAAGAGAATAATGAACCGTCGGTGCGGCGTCGCGATAGTCTGCGCAAGGCACACAGGTGAGTGCTCAAAAAAAAAATATAAATATATGGACACACATATTGGGTGCAGGCATTAATGCGGTTTTTAAGATTAATGCGGGCTCTATTAGTATTATTTCGCGTCGTGTTCATCTGTGGCTATATTCATTTCAAATATACTGTTATTTCGCGTCGTCTTCAGTAGATGTCATTTGTTTTGCGTGAACAACAATTTGTTTCATTCATTTGAAAATGTCGAAATTTGTACCAGATAAAGTGCTACGGAAAGCCATCGTATTTTACTGGACGTTTATGGTGACCATACTTTAGCCGAACGAACGAGCCAAATGTGGTTTGCACGGTTTAAAAGTGGCAATTTCGACTTAGACGACGGCTTCACTGCAAGACAATTACGAATCCAACCGACAAAATCCTCGGCTACCCTTTTCACCAGCTGGACGAAGGAATACAGGCTTGAACTGGATGTAAAGGGCGATGACGAAAAAATTCCGACGATAAATAACCCAAAAATATTGGGAGTAACTCTAGACAGCCTGCACTCCTTCACTCCGCATACGACCGAAATTGCCGCAAAACTCCAGAGCCGCAACAAAATACTCAAAGCGCTAGCCGGCAGCACCTGGGGTAAAGATAAAGAAACTTTGCTGGGGCCGGCCGGTCGTAAACTATGCTGCTCCGATCTGGACGCCGGGGACGAACGGGACGCAGATGAAGAAGCTACAGGCTTGCCAAAACACTGCCCTCAGGACTGCGACAGGAAACCTCCTGATGTCGCCGGAGCATCACTTGCACAGGGAAGCATCTATGCTACGAGTTAAGGAGCATAATGCTTTGCTGTGCAAGCAGTTCCTACTGGGATGCTACCGCAGGGAGCACCCCAGCAGGCACTTAATAGAGGCTGAACCTCCACCTAGGTACATCAGGAAGGGAGTACTAGACTTTAAGGACACGATCCAGCAACACACACAACAACCGCTGGACAGGACGGCGTATCGACAAGCACTGAACGCCATTTACCAGGAGTCAGTCAACACCTTCATGGACTCCCTTCCAGTGAATGGCGTACTCGGAGAAATACCACCACCCACAGAAGACAACCAACTCGAGCTGCCTCGAGAGACCCGCGTGACCCTGACACAACTCAGGTCTGGATATTGTAGCAGGTTAAACTCCTACCTATCCAGACTAGACCCCAGCATACCTAACGTATGCCCGGCATGTGGAGAGTCCCCTCACGACACTTACCACCTCTTCACATGCCCCCTCAAACCTACTCATCTAACCCCCCTCTCCCTTTGGTCCAACCCCGTCGAAACAGCTCGTTTCCTGGGCCTACCATTAGATGACCTCGGCGACTTAGACTAATTAGGCCTGTGCCTAAGCGGGGTTAGCGAACCGCTACAACAACAACAACAACACTTAGACGACGGACAGCCAAAAAAATTTCAAGACGAAGAATCGGAGACATTGCTCGACGCAGATGTAAGCCAGACGCACGAAAAACCTGCAAAAGTATTAGGAGTTGATAAAGCAACCGTTTTCAGACGATTAAAATCATTCTTAATGCGTACACCCAATATGTATATACATAGAAAATGAGGGGTACTCCAAAGGCTCGTGAAATGTAAGTTGCAGGTCCAGAAGAAGTTTATTTTTCTATTTCAATAATAAATATTATCCCAGGTAACCCCCAGGTTTCTTTGAGGAAAAAAGAGCATTTTCAACAAATTGTTTGTAAAGAAAATATTAAATAATTTATTCAAATATTAAATATTTCATTAAAAATATTATACATTTGGAAAAAAAAACACTAAAAATTTCATGGAAAATAGTCATAACTCCGCCATTGCAACGTCGTTTCCCATGACCACGCGAAAAAAGGTAGAACTCATAACAGGATCAGCTGTGGTGAAAAATTGTTAATGCCATAAACTAAAATTCAGAGGAAGGAAAACAAAAAAATTTTTTGGCACATTTTTTTTTACAAAAAATACGAATTTCTGTAAAATTTGCTGTACACTTTTTTTAACAAATAATTTTGGTTGAAAAAAAAACAATTCTGAGCCAATTCTTCTTGAATTGTATTATAAGTCGAAGATCTGTCTAAAGTTTCATTAAGATCGGCTTGGTATGTTTCAAGAACTTCGAGAAAACCCCAATTAAAGTTTGAAGAGCTGAGCCTATCTGCCTCAGAGCGCACACCTTCCCAAAAAATCATTTTTTTTTTGTAGCTGTGAAACTCATGTAACTCCTTGAGCTGGTAGGTTGGTTTATTTGATTTTTATTTACATTTTTAACCGTCGAAAAATATCACTGTTCATTGGTTGCAAATTGTGTCGGAATCATTTCCTGAAAAACTTCGTTCTACTTATGGTTTTTTCTTTAAAAGTCTCTGGTTGCCAGGTTGGGATTTCGAAGTAAGTGAATTGCCAATTCGTAGACAAAACAGCCATTTGTCCTCTCCCAAAAACAGAAGAGTGTACATTTACAATTCTATTGAAGAAAGTGAAGAAGAAGCAGAAATCAATACCACTTTGTCAGGGAACTTAAAATAATGTTACCTGTTGGCCTCAACGGGGTTAGGTTGCCGAAAGGGGGACAGCCCTTGGCCGGATAAAATCCGGGTCAACTCCGGTACATAGAACCGGCAGACAACGAGCTCGAGACACCCGCGTGACCATGGCACAACTTAGGTCTGGATGCTATAGCAGATTAAACTCTTACTTATCCAGACTCGACCACAGTATATCCAACGTATGCGCTGCATGTGAAGAGTCTCCGCAACACAAAACACTAACCACCTCTTCACATGCCCACTTAAACCGACTCATCTAACCCCTCTCTGTCTTTAGTCCAATCCTGTCGAAACAGCTCGTTTCCTGGATCTCCTATTAGATAACCTCGGCGTCTTAGATTAGTGAAACCTTTACCTAAGCGGGGCTAGCGTACCGCTACAACAACAAAAACAACCACTTTGTAAGGCGAATAGATTATGGGAACGATAGGACTACTAACAGGGCATTACCTTCTAGCATCTCATGGTCTTTCAGATAGGTCTGACTGCGGACAACAAATGTTGGAAATGCAAGGAATGCGTGGAGGTTGTGGAGCACGTTATCTGTGAATGTCCGACTTTTGGAAGACGAAGTCTATGTAAAGTTGACGCAGAAGGGCGACAAGATTTGACCAGAACGACCACTTGAGTTCGCGAAAAGAAAATGTTCTTCACGCTAGTGGCACAATAGAAATGGATGTATTTCGTCTCTGTGAGACGCAATGGATCAGCCAGCTTAACCTAACCTAACTCTCCCAATTGGATTTCTTGGCTAGATAAAAATCAGTGTAGTTTCTCATCACAGTTTTTTGGGTCGTTCAGAGGTGGGTTGAAATAAACCACAAGTCTGGCGCTTACTTACCAATTCTTGAAAATCTAATATCAATGGGATCAATTTCCCACTCTGCTCAATGGCGAATTACGACTCGTCACTGTTGTTACCTTGAAGGTTGCTGAAGTTCTTCCCAACAATAAATGTAACTTGTCTGTTGTTGTTGTTGTTGTTGTAACCTCAAAAATATTCTTCAAAATGTTAATTTTTGGGGAATGTTGCAGGAGTGACAGTTCTTGGCCGGATAAAAACTCCGGGTCGTTCCGGTATAAAGACCCCACTGTCGCGGCAACTATTGGATTTTAGTCTCCTCTTACAGATGAGACAGGCATGCCTTATCGCGAGTAAATTCTTGAACCCGCAGGGTCGTCCGTCTTCCTACGTGCCTTTAAAGGTAGGGAAATACATCCTCACTTCTACCATCCTAAAGGAGGAGTACATCCTCGTCAACTCTAAATATGCCTGTTTACGTAAAAGGACTCAGTAATTTCTCGGTGGTCGTTAAAGAAAATGTACCTTGTCGTCTCCTGCTACCTACTTACGACTACTGTAATTCTATTCTACGACTGCCTTTTTCATCCGTTCTCGGTCGCAGTTGCTTAGTTTGGCCATTCATGGGTGAGTTTTGTTACATTTTCTCGGATGTCTGATGTGTCTACCTCTTACCACTACCATTCTCTACATATAATTTATCTTACAACTATTTGGCCCTACCCTCATAGGGCACGACCGTATATAATTCCGATATTCAATCGGGTTGTAGTGAACACAAATTAGTCAGCGGCTGTCATTTTAATGCAATTTGCCGTCGAAATGCAGATCATCAATCATCAATCAATAATAATTAATATTTATTACCACGATGGGGCGTTTTTAGGTCCGCGGAATGGGAATAAGGGGTGGAAATAAAGCATCTAATTACCATTCCTTTTCAATATGTTCACCTGCTTCTTTTTGTTGCTCTAATATTGAAGTGTAGTAATCGTCAGTTATACAAGGTGCGTTCCAAAGTAAACAGGACTTTTTAAATCTAGCGCCCTCTAGTGGCGCCATCTATATGCGTGCGTGCGTGTATTAGAATCTCCTATCTTTTATAGACTTTCAGTAAAAATTTCATGACATTTCATCTATTGCAAATGAAGTTATTGCGTTTTAAGTGTCAGTATGTTTTTGCCATCGGTGCGGAAGTGAGCTTCGAACAAAGAGCCAACCGAGAATTGCTCAGAATTCAACATTCGAAGGACATCATTAAGGAGTGAAAAAAAAGAACCGAACTTCCTTTACAAGATTGTGACTGGTGACGAAACGTGGTATTTGCAATATGATACCGAAACGAAACGCCAGAGTGGACGAGCCGAAACCCATTGCACCTGCAGAAGTCAAAAGTGAAGACTATGCTGATTTGTTTTTATGATTCCAAGGATATTGTCCACAAAGAATTTGTTCCACCCGGCCAAAACGTTAATGCGGTATTCTACCTTAGAGTTTTGAAGCATTTGGTGCGCCTTATTCGTCCGAATATTGCGAAGATGGAAGTGGGCGTTTATTACACGATAATGCGCCGTCTCATCGATCGATGCTTGTGGCCGATTATTTGACCACATGCCTTTAAAGGATCAACCACTACCCGTA